CGACTCGCAAACTGACCGCCCACGATGATATTAGCGTCAAAAAGATTTTTGATAGCACGCTCAAGAACATCCAGACAGAGCAAAAGGTTGGCATTTCGAATCGTCCTTGTCGGCTTGTTTTGTCGATCAATGAAACCCATGTCATGATTGTGTTGATTCATGCCCGCTCGTATGACATCGCAGCAAATTTCCCGCGCAGCACTCAGTAATATGCGGTCGGACATGGTGCGCTACCTGAGCAAAGTCATCTTCGAGAATCCGCGATGCTTGGAGGACAGCGACTCGGAACTCTCCGCGGCCGATGCAGAAAAGGTCGGTGCTCGCTTTCTTCTTTTCTTTTTTCTTTTCTTTTTTATTTTTCTTTTTTTTTTTTTTTCCTTTTTTGGTTTTTGTAAAGGAAAGCGGTAATTCATCCGTGTGCTCCAGTGGCTTTCCTCGCCGTGAGACCGAGAGACACCTTTTCGGACCATTGATTTGCTTTCTTCGCCTCGTCTGTGCGTGCTCGCTACTGTGACTCCAGATTGCAGCCGATCTGCTCGACTACATGAATAGCAACCTGGAAACCCTGGCAGCCCAGGTGTATGACGAGGTGTTTGCCATCATGTTGCGTGACATGTGGCTCGTGGTGCGTCACTTCTTGTCAGCGGCTTTTGGCACCGCGTGCCAACCATATTATCCAGTGTTTGGCCGCCAACAGGATGTCCCTAGCACATGCCTCACATGGACTGGTCATGGTGGTTGAGCATCGTAGACCCTCCAAGCTGTGCAGGAGATTTTGGCGCCGTCACCGCAGCGCCATCTGAAGCTGGACCCCTTGACCTCGCGGCAGTTTTTTGTCATTCAGTGCATTCTGCGCGCCGCGCGCAGCTTTTTCTACCAGGACGGGGATGGTCTATCCTCTGAAGTGCTGGACAACGACACTTTTGTTGAGACCATGGAGCTCTTGGCCTATGCAGAACAAGGCAACACAGAAACTTTGGTGCGATTCCTGCTCTCTTTTGTCCTGCAAGATCTTGGCCGTACCCATTCAGTATTCTGACGCTCGCCCCTCTCTCTCTCTCTCTCTCTCTCTCTCTCTCTCTCTCTCTCTCTCCCCTTGCTTCTGTCTCTCTCTC